TAGTCTACTCCACCTGTACTCTGTTCACCCGAACACGACATTGATGGACGTTGCCCGTTCGTTTGGTTTAAACGGAACTACACCGAAATGAGAGACTTTTTCGTTATTTAGGCAAATTCGTCGTTTTTAATGGACGAGAATAAAAGAAAAAATGGTCGAATTACTTTTAAAAAACCTACACTGATGACAGCGGCGATGAAAAAACTTCAAACTGTCAAAGTTGTCATTTCCGTTACTACGGGATACGTTGACATTTAATTTGATGTACAGGGTGTTTTTTCATTAAGGAAATCGGAAGAATTGATATACGGGGTGTTTTTTTTTTCTAAAGCGAACAATTATATTAATTTAAATTAAAATATAGTACATGGGTAACTTGTATTTAAGAAAATGTTAATTACATAAACCGAGCGAGCGAAGCAAGCGAGGATTCGGCTATATAACTGTCTTTACGTAGGAGGCCGCCAGGCCTCCGAGCTGCGGCTCTATTCGGCAGAGCCCAACGATTTTCACAGCGATTTTGTCGAGCTCGCGCAGCGAGCGAGACCTCAATTATGTAACTGTCTTTGCGTAGGAGGCCGACAGTCCTCCGAGCTGCAGGTTTATTCGGCAGAGCCCATTATTGCAATTACCAATAAACTCGAGCTCGCCCAGCGAGCGGGAATGGGATATGTAACTGTCTGCGCCGAAGCCGGGGGTGGAGGGTTGGAGCCCCTCCCGAGCTGACAAGCGAGTTGTCTTCATAAATCTCGATCGGTTCCTTAACATTTATTAGCAAATCAGTAACAATACCTTTTACAAATATCTCGTCCGTAGCATCGCCTAGATAGGCCACTGTGGGGAAACCAATGTTTTACAATTGTAGTATGATCATGTAATTATACTAATGTTCGCAGAAAAAAGAACTTTAATTTGTAACGAAAGAACAACGTAACTAAACAATTGTAAAATGTTTCAGTGTGTATCTGCGATCGTGTCGATCGCGAGCCGTCGACCCTATGGCTATGTTACAACAACGATAACGTTTTATAAAACAATAACAATAACACGTAACCTAACAGGAGACAACATGTGGTTTCCACAAACCAGCTTGTTGGCTGCAGAGCAAGTGGTAAATTTTGTGTGTACTCGGATGATAGCGGACTCGCCGGCTTTTTACAAGCTGGCTAGTTCGCTTGCAAACTGTTAGAAAAAGATCAACAAATATTTTGTTCTAGTTATTTTTTAGTTTTGTAAGTTTCATAACCTGTCTGTCAGTGTCGTAAGTTTATCCTTCATAAAAACAATGGTTGTTGCAAGTTAATTAAACAATTGGGCATTTTACTTATTCTCATCTATTCGCTGTAGAAAAGTTAACACAAACTCGCCCCGTGTACTTGATCCTTTATGGAAAATGGAGATACAATTTACTATTAATAATATTTTAGAAGAAATGGGATGTCCTCATTTAATTCATAGATTAAGTAAGTGCAACCTTATTTTATAAACCATTAAAGACAAAAATGACACATGACAAAATGTTGGCACCATATTAATGATGCCTATATATCAGGTTTTGTGCAAAATGGGATGGAAATTGAATTAATAAATAGATGTCATAAATATTATTACGAACATCGTAAATGTTTACATAAAACATAAAAGAACTCATACCACTAATAGGGGAGAGGCTGGTCTTCATACACAAATTCAAAAACTACAAAAAATTGTTAACAGTACGTTAATTACTTTTATAAAATGAAAGTTGCTAATTATCAATAATCTTATTGCAGCATTCCAGTGCTGGCGTTGATACGATACTACTTAAAGATACTAACTTGTGTCCTAGTTCTAATACATCAGCTACATACACCGTTGGAAAAATATTCGCGCATAATAGGGAAATTAATGTTAAATTCTTAGCCGTCTGAAATGCAGTCTACCAGTGTACATTTCAATAGAACGTCGCGATAAATGGACTGGACTTGAATACTGGACTTCACACCGCGATTTGGTTCGGTTGAATAAAAATCAAATCATTTCGACGGTTTCGACACTTCGACAGTATCAAAACGGGTTCGGATGGGCGAACGTCGAGTCGATTAAAATCGATTAAAAAAAATGAGAATTTTTAAACGATTTATTGAAAAAATATCACTAATATTAAAATAGAATTATGTAAATATGTCTTTTTGCCACAATGGCTGGAAAAAGAAAGTAAATTCTAAGAAAATAATAAAACGGAAACTCCAAAAATAAACTTAAAGATTATTTTAAAACATAAAATAAATGAACTCTAAAAAATAGTCCACCGCTTTCTGCTTAACAATAGCCAAACCTGTCATACAGATGTCATCCCATATTATTGAGCTGAGGTTATAATTCTAGCTGAAAATTAAACTATTTTTGCCCTTATTTCAATAAAATTTGTTGCTGTTTCAAAACTGTACCTACCGACACACACATTTTTTTGAAATATCCCCAAAAAACCTATTAAATGTAGTTTCTAAATAATTGTGTACCTCATACCTAACACAAATAACTTTATACCTCCACAAATCGCGGCGTGCGTTCCAGTAGAACAATTAAATTTATTAGAATTCATCGCGACGTTCTATTGAAATGTATACTGGTAGACTGGATTTCAGCCGGCTAAGAATTTAACATTGATTTCCCTATTATGCGAAATTAAATTTCCAACGGTGTATGCTTCAGATAACGAATATGTACTGGTTCCCATAGAAAATACACTGACATCATCCCATTCGTTGGAAGAATTATTAAAGGATATTACATTTCCCGATTTTAGCTTACATGATATTCTTCAGGATTAACCAATGGATAACAAAATTATTAGCTATTATAATCAACTTTTCTCGGTTTAATTTGTAAACATTGAAAGTAAACATAACATTAAATAAAATATATCTGTCATATAAAGGATTTCAATTACAAACCGGCAACGTTGCAACAGGCTCGTGACGTCATTACCTAACGAGATGGTATTTTATACACGTTTCCTAATAATATGTTATAACTGCAATCTTGTAGATAGATTGTAGATATTGTATTATTAAAAAATCGAAGAGTAATTTAATATTTATACTTTTCATTTTTTAGTCGACTAACTCATAAGGATTGTCTACTAATAATAACAAAAATAACCAGCTTATTTCCTAAGGAACCATCTGAAATATATTACATTCCCGCCGTTAGAAAGTCACATTCATCCTTCGGTCGCCCCATCTTAGCTAAAGGAAAATTGATTGATAAGGCTATAAATTTAATATACCAAAAGAGGATACGCCTGACCAACAAAAACAGGAAAGTAACAGCAGAAGAATAGTCAGAATTACCCAAGCAACCAAAGATTAGTAAGTTCTTTTGTCAAACTTTATTGCAAGTATATTTTGTTAAGTAGTATTAAGTGGTAAACTGTATTAGGTAATTTGAATAATTTTATTTTTACAGATTTATCAAAATCAGCAGACGAATCGTATTTATGGTTAAAAACCAGAAAGGATCCGTGGGAGGAAGTTATTGAAAACTGGAAAACTACATTTGACCTTACAAATAGAAGGGAAAGCGAGTCTTCATGCGGTTTCGAATTTATAGAAAAATGGACCATTTTGAAGGATACCAGGTCAATAAGTTTGATATGATTTTATTCAAAGTATAGTTTTGCATAACAATGTTTAAATAATTATTTTTAGATCGATTTGGACTTTGATTGGCTTTTTTTCCTGCCTTTTATACAACCTTTTATATTAACTGAGGGCCCAACTGAATCCAATATGTTCCAAGTCAACCTTATCGTAGATGAAATTCTCTTAGAATGCCAAAATTGTATAAAAGCATTTGATATTCTATTTAAATTTTTTCATGTGTTAAACGTACCCGTCGTAAAAATATTTAGTTAATACTCATGCAAGAAGTATGGAAAGACATAACAGGAAGTCAAATTGTTTTTAAAAAATATTTCCTATTTGTTCCTAATGCATACTTACAGCAATATTTTGGTTTGATATATCGAGTAAAACGTTTTCTTCCTAAAATTAACAAAAATAAGTTTGATAAGTTATATTACAAATAATATACATTAAAGATATACCTATTAAATAAATAATTACTACAAGATAGTTTATATGTTGCTTACCGTATCATTTAATATAAATTCAATTCTATTTGGCTTAAAATTTGATACGATTGAATTAACACTGTCGGAATCAAACATATTTAAATGCCCTTCTTCCGTTAAAGGATCCAATGTTGATAAAATTAGGTCATCCAGATCATTCAGTTTGGATGCAGATTGGCCACCACCCGTTTTCAAACATTCTTGCCAAATTTTAGTCTTTTTCTTCCTCAACGCCTTTCTTCTATTTTCATCTTTTTAATTGTTCAGTTGTTCTATTATTAAAATATTGACTTGTTGCACTAAATTCATCTGAATTTTTTTTCCACGCTTCAATCTTTTCATTGTTTGCCACTGTATTGGTTTGTTCGAGAATCTTGAACGAAACGACTAATTGTAAAAAAGCGCCTCGAGGTATCGCAGTGAAGGGTGAGGGTGTTTTACTATGAACGCTCCCCAAAAGAGAAGAAATTCATATACAAAATGTAACGTTGTCATATTGTCTCTGCATTTAAAAGGTACGTAGTTAAAACTTTCCAAAAAGGTTACGGTGCAAATCCGTTAGAGTTAAAGGTTAAGGGCATTAAAATTTAAGGTATACTTCCATTGGTCCCATAAAAATAAGTCGGTGCAATCGGCCGTTAATTCCGACTGATAATAAAATATGGAACTTTTACTTATTGACTTTAAAAATGACTGAACTCATAGTTAGTCCGTCAATTTCAACTACAGATATTCAACAACTACAAAATCTGGTTTCGGAGCATAATCAGTCAACAAAGCCTTAAGGCTTTGGTTGGTTTTTTGGTTTAAACCGAAACACCATTTTCTTACACATTATCCCAGATTAAATAAATTATGTGGACCTCCGTGTTTTGTTTCGTATATGAGATTTGAAGGGAGAAGGAAGTACAAGGATTTGAAGCACAAGGATTTAAATTCTAATGCCTATAATGTAAGAAGTCGCGTAAATTTACCTTTCACATTAACAAATCGCGTGCAATTAAAATGTGCCTACAGATATTTTGCCCAGAAAGGCTTTAACGATACTGTTAATACAAACAAATTAGAAGTGAGTAACAACGACAATTTTTATGAAACTAAATTTTTGGAAAAGAATTGTGTACCATTTTCATTACACAGCATTGCAATAACGATGCAGAGCTACCCTAATTTAAATAAGAACTGTTTCGGAACTTGCCATTTCTCCGGTACAGCCCTCTAGAACTCTCGACTACGTACGAACGTGGAACGACGAGTTTCTCCTCCACCTTTTCCTCTTGTCGCAAATCTGAAATCCCTACTACGTGGCCCACTAGCAACTCTTGTAAGTCCTTCTCCCTGTGATGAAGATCAAAGTATTCCTGCTTTAACTTGGCTTTCTCTCCCCTTTTGTTGATTGAATCTCTATCGGAAAATTTCAGAGATAGCAAATGCTGAACCATAGGAACCTTACCTCTTAGCCTGCGACCCATTAATAACTCAGCCGGACTAAAAACATTCGGTAACGGCGTGGTCCGCAAATCTAAAAACATTCTATACGGATCCTGGCTCCTTTTTAAAAACATTTAAAAAAGTTTTGTTGTTTGTTTTAAAAATTTTAACCTGGTTTTTTATGAACCCATTACTTTGGGGGTAATGAGAACTAGATGTCACAATTCTAAATCCGAAGCTCTTTGAAAATTCTTGGTATTCAAATCCCACTGTCCTTAAAAACTGTGTTCCATTGTCTGTTCGGACAATCTCAGGAATCCCATGTCTGGCGAAAATAGTGCATTATGTGCATTATGCACATGTGCATAATGACAGAGTCCGAAGACATATTCGACAATTTTGCCACTTCGAAATATCTGGAATAGTAGTCTGCAACAATAATATATCAGTCACCACCCAACTTCAGCAAATCCGCAGCCACTATCTGCCAAGGGCGATCCGGTAAGCACAACGAATTTAATGTTTCCGTACTGTCTGTTAATATTTAATGCATTGTATGCAACCCTTGATCATTGCTTCCAACTGCACGGAAAGTTCGGACCACCAAACGGACTGCTGCGCCATGGAACGACACTTGGTGATCCCCTAATGACCCTCGTGCAATCTTTCTAAAATCGCTTGTCTTAATTTCGGGGGGATAATTATCCTGGCATCCTTCATTAGCAACCCCTCTTGAATCGTGATGACATTGCGTGCTCCCAGTGAGAAATTACCTCCTGAGACACTTTATGTCTTAATGGTCAACCATCGATGGTATACTTTGTAAGTTCACAGCAAATGACATATCTTCCTTGCTCCATCACAATTTCGGTTAACCGATGATCAGTTGCCGGGAAATTTTGAATTACTTGTTGAATAAGCCGAAATTTCTTCACTCAATTCCTGGTCTCTCCCTCCTGCTTAATTGGATCCCTTGGCAGATTCTCTGTAATCTCAATGTAAGGCTATCTAAATCCTTCGTTCCTAAAATCGAAACCAAAGGCTTATATCCGTCTCGATAGTTACAGTTTTCCCTATTATGTAGCCAGAAAACCTTTCGTATCCAAAAGCAACAGCAACAGCCTCTTTTTAAATCTGGGCATACATCTTTTCACTCTTAGACAGCTTTCTCGAAACGAACGCAACGGGTCTGAAGACCATCTCTTTCGAATCTTTTTGCATCAGTGCACAGCCAAGGCAAAAAGAACTGGCGTCTACAGAAAGCAGAGTTTCCTTTGAGCAGTCGTGTAAGGCCAAAACGGGAGGTTTCATAATAACCTACTTTAATTTTTCAAAAGCTGCCACCTGTGATTGATTCCAATACCACTGCGTATCAGCTCTCAGCAGTTCATGCAACGGGGAGGCGATGTTGCCAAATCGGGAATAAATTTTCCAATATATTTGATCATACCGAGTCTTTGAAAACAATTGGATGCCGATTAGCGTATGTATCTTATGTACTTTAGCTTGCGTTCTTTTAATTCTACCCAGTCATAGTTTGATTATAATATTTTAGTTTTGTTCTAAAATTGGCATCAGATACAAAAAATATACAAAAGAAAATTCGTTGGAACATTATTAAAACTTTATAGTTATATTTACACAGGCACGTAATAAGTTAATGTAAATAAATATTTACAATATTTTAAATTGAATACTGGTTATTTCAGGTAATTAATATTGCTGGTTGAATATTAATAAAAGAATTTCAAAACACTATTAATAACGGCATGTGACTTTTGTCAATATACCTGTTCTAATCATTTCGAAACGAAGGGGCCAGGGATTAAGGACTAGGTAATTTGCTCCAGTATGGTATCCTCCAACTTGCGTACGTCCCATTTGCGTACATGGGTTAGGTCACCCCTCGAGTCAGGTAAAAATACTGCGATACATTCCCACTTGCGTACACACATAAAATAAGGCCTGTTGCAAAATATTAAATAATAAAATAATCAAATTTACTACTTTTGTTGATATAAGAGGAATAATAACTTATGTTGTTTACAAGTTGGTAAAAATGAAAGTGAATAAATAGTGATATAAATAATAGTTTTCGAAATTCTTCGACAAGAACCACAAAGTTATAGGATTAATTTTATTTTACTATATTTAAAATTTTCCTTCACACTTTGTCCAGGCTTGTGACTGGCAGCGATATGCTGGCGTTTTTAAAAAGTTTATTTTTTATTTTTTTATAATTTATTTTTTATTTTTTCATGTTGGACAAATTTGACGATGTGCGCAAATGGGACGTACGCAAGTTGAATATATTCCTTCAATATGTGGCGCCCAGGCCGCGCTGTAGGAAGCAGACTCTGAGGCCGAGAGTGGCCGGCGAGGACCTGACGTTCGAGGCCGGGCGACGACGAATTTGACAGAACGGAAGGAGTAGTTCTGTCGGACGTCAAGGAAGTCAGTTTTGACTTCCGCCCCGTCCCTTTCGAAAATTCAATCTTTTTCTAACCACACATGTTAATACACCCGGCACATGGCCGGAATAAAATAGCTGCTGAATATTAACCGAAGTCAGGTTGTTTAATTTTACCCCAGTGTCCCATACAGAAACTGATCGTCTACGAACTCCGAACCTAAAAGTGGTGACCCCGACGACCTCGACGAACAGTTTTGTGCATTTTTGGCGTCGTGTAACGACGAACTCACGTGTTAGTGCCGTGTAACGTTCTAAAATCTCCCCACAATAATCAATAATTCTATTACACATTTTAAATTCACTAATTAATTGTATTGAAGATTTGTTTACCTTTTGGAATAACTAGGGTTAATTATTCTACGAGTACGTTCGTTTGTCCAACAATAAATTCTTCTGTTTATTGTTATTGACATTTGTCTTTGTGTTCTTGACGAGTTAGTGTTCTGAGTAATTGACACTTCTAAAGAGTTATTTAGGTTGTTCCGTGGTTCCGCTGGTTCCATTTTGATTTTGGTCTTCGAGACGGACAGACTCGTGGTATTACATTTTTAGTAACCGGGAAACATCTCGGATTTTCTACGGTCCGTCTGAAAATATTTAACTTCGTTAGTTGTTTGGAGCCTTGTGCTATTTGATTTGCCGTGTATTTTTGGCGTTAACGTAAGTTAAATCCGTTATTCGGGATCTATATCCTCTTGACCAAATCAACCACGTTTCGATCCCCGACTTAGAACACTAGGGGTAAGTCTTGTCTTCCTTCCTGTTGCAATCGTTAATTGTGTGTTTCTTAGGATCAATTTTTATTACTACTATTATTTTGAGTTGGATTTTCCAATCCGTATTTCCTTGGATCTTCCGTGAGGTTATTCGTATTAAACTGTCTTCTGATTGAACTGGGACCGATTCCTGCGTCACTTTGACCGCCTGTAGTTGCGACCGATAGCTGATTCGACAAGGTTGTCCTGTTGTCCTGTTGTGAGAAGTTTTATTATAATCATTTATTTCAATTTAATTTATCGTAGTTAAAGTTCTTTTATTTATTGTTAAATTCATTTTCACGTACAGTATCAATTTTATTATCGTTAAATTCGTATTCTAATTCAGTACGATAGTTAATTAATTTTCTTTTGTTAATAACGAAAATTCGACTCGCCTTTACCGTTTAGTAATTATTCTGTGAATTATAGATATTCCTTTGGATCTGGACCCCAACTGATCGATCAATTGGAGGACCCAGCTGTATCGCTATAGTATATTGACTTCGCAGAACTTCGTTTTACTTTGAACCATCCGGTTGATCGGATCACCATCGGTAAGTCGAATTTGATTTATACCGTGACTGCTATCTCGTACTGTTTGGAATTTCTTAATAACTATCTTCCTATTTCTTAGTTTTCTCTTAATATTTTTTTTGTATTGTATTCTATTATTTCTTTCGCTATTGTATTAAATTAAATACCTATAGAGTTACTAAAAGTGTGTACTATCAATTCCTTGTTAAGTTGGGAGTTGATATAAGATTATATTGTTAAGGGCACTTGGTCAACTTAACTGGCGCCCGTTTTATATCTAAATATCATTTAATTTTGACTCACTCCCGTCTCATCTGAGTATAGCCGCGTGCCCGGATGTTCAAGTCATCCACCTAAGTAACGAAATATATATTTACCGTTTTATTTTTGTAGTTTTATTGAAGGGGTAAAATTTTAACGTTACAGCCGAAGCCGGTAATTTTTTCAGTGCAAAAGAGACACTCACGGACTATTTCTGGGGTAAGCAAACCTTTTTTCGGACTTATAATCACCATTCTTTTTCGGTTTTTTTTCGGTTCCGCGCCGTGTACGAACAATCGAGACTTTTCTGCGCATAATTGAATGATGGATTCCCCGCCTTTGCTCGGCGATGAAGTTCCTTTCCCCGAGGCCTCCGCATCGTCGGTCCTGCAGCCTCCTGGGTCGCAATCCCCGCCAAGTACTTCCGCTACGACCATCGGAGCCGTTACTAATTGCAGACTGCCGCCCTTTTGGCGGATGGATCCAGAACTCTGGTTCATCCAAGTAGAATCGTCGTTCCAGGTCCATCGGGTAGCCAGCGACACAACGAAATACCACATGGTGGTCGCGGCCCTCGACCCCGATACCATACGCGAGGTGGCGGACGTTCTCCGCACTCCACCTGCCAACGACAGGTATGCTTTACTAAGAGCAGCGATTTTGCAGCGCATGACGGACTCAGCTGACTCCCAGCTTCACAAGCTGCTGACGGGAGTCGAGTTGGGGACAAGAAACCGTCTTAGCTGCTACGCCAAATGCAGTCCCTGGCAAAAGGGGGCGTCAGCGAGGATATCCTTAGGGTCAAGTGGCTGGACCTATTGCCGCCTTCGACCCGTAGAATTCTCCGTCTTTTCCGGGGCAAAGGCCTCGCAGAACTGGCCGACGCCGCCGATGAAATTTATGATTGCGGTCCACCGGTGATGGCCACCTCTTTCACCCCCCTCCCCAACCCGCAGTTTCGACACCACAAATGACACAGTCGCCTTCCACGCTCCAAGACCTCACCCAGGAGGTGGCAACTCTTCGAAAAATGGTGTCGCAGTTGATGTCCCCGACGAGGGAGGATTCCACCCATCGTGCCCGTTCCTTTACACGGTCCAACTCGCGGAGGCGCAACCGGTCGCCGCCGCCAATTGACGATTCTCCGCAAGGGTTTTGCTGGTACCACATTAAGTGGGGAGCCCGAGCCCGCAGCTGCAAGCCGCCCTGCGCTTGGTCGGGTACCGTATCGGCAGCAGCACCAGCACTGGCGGAAAACTGATGCCGTCGGTGGCGCCCTCAGGAGACGCCGCCACCGGCCTTGCTCCAGTCGAGAATCGCCTCCACGTCTATGACAGGACCACTTCTACCCGTTTTCTGGTAGATTCAGGATCTGTCGTTTCAATTTTACCCAAAAAAATTTTCACCGGTAGGCTCCAGCGTCATGACCTCACCCTTCACGCTGCCAATTCCACGATGATTCCAACGTACGGATGCCGCCGGCGTGTACTCAACCTCGGTTCGCCGGCCCATCACCTGGGATTTCATCGTTGCTGACGTTCTTACTGCAATCCTCGGTGCGGACATTCTAACCCATTTTGGAATCGTCATTGACCTCCAACGGAAGCGCCTTTTGGACCGGCACACCAGCCTCTCAGTCGGAGGTTCCTTAGAATTGGCCCACGTGCATAGTGTTACGGTCGCTCTCGCCTACGCAGTCCCCGACGGAGCTATAGGTGAGCGTTACAATAAACTATTACAGAGTTTTCCAGAGCTCAATGCCCCCTTGGAGGTCACGGCGACGCTTCCGGGTATCCAGGCTCAACACGTTATACACACTACTGGACCCCCAGTTTTCGACCACTATCGCCGCCTTGCGGGGGAACGTTTGGCAGCAGCCAAAGAGCAAATTGCCAACCTCCAGGACAGAGGAATTATCCGTCCATCCGCCAGCCAGTCGGCCAGTCCCTTACATCTTGTTTCCAAGCCAGGAGGCGGTTGGAGAGTCACTGGAGACTATCGTCGACTTAACGCGTGCACCATTCCAGATCGTTACCCACTCCCCATTATAGAGGACATTCTCCAAGGGAGTCGGGGTAAAGTCTTTTCGGTAATCGATCTTCAACGGGCGTTTTATCAGATACCCGTAGACGAATCGAGCATCCCCAAAACGGCCGTTACAACTCCGTTCGGCCTGTTTGAATTTGTAGGGATGCCTCTGGGGCTTCGAAATTCCGCTTAAACGCTCCAGCGAATGATGGATCACCTCCTCAGGAAGTTAAATTTTGTCAGATGCTACATCGATGATTTCCTCGTCTTTTCTGACTCGCACGAGCAGCATCTAGACCATCTGCGCATCCTATTCCAGGCCTTGCGCGACGCCAGCTTACGCATTAACTGGTCAAAATGCGTTTTCGGTAAGCCAGAAGTGGTTTTTGCAGGCTACCTAGTATCGAAGGATGGTTACCAGCCCCCACCGGGTAAGGTCGAAGCTATTCTCCAATACCCATGCCCGGTCGACTCCACTCAACTCCGCAGGTTTTTGGGCATGGTAAACTTTTACCGCCGTTGCCTGCCCAACGCAGCAGCACTACAGGCCCCCCTAACCGAGCTGCTGAAGGGGAGCGCCAAGAAGAAGTTCAAGCTAACCTGGACGGAGCCAGCGTCGCAGGCTTTCAAGCTTTGTAAGGAGGGGCTCGCCGAAGCGGCCAATGTGGCGTTTCTATCACCTTCGGCCCCCCTGGCGTTGCGGACGGACGCCTCAGGGACCACCATTGGAGGAGTGTTGGACCAGCAGAATACGGATTCATCCTGGGTCCCGCTCGCCTTTTTCTCTCGCAAACTCAGTCCAACGGAACAGCGATATAGCGGTAATCCACGCTGCTATCAAACATTTCTCTCGTATCTTAGAGGGCCGACCATTCGATACCTACACGGACCATCACCCCCTAGTCTACGCGCTATCTCAGCGGGCTGACAAGGCCTCGCCTCGTTAGCAAAGACAACTGGATTTAATCTCACAATTTGATACCAGGCTGCTATACACACCAGGAGTTGAAAACGTCGTTGCGGATGCCTTGTCTAGAGTGGAGACCATCAGCACGCCTTTCGTTTTGGATGCATCCGCCATCGCGTCCGCACAGTCGAGAGATGAGCAGCTAGAACTTCTTCTCAGCGACTCCCATTTGAATTGGCAGCAGCAGAACATCGGAGGTCATCTTCTGCACTGCGTCGTGGTAGAAGACGTTATAAAACCATACCTGCCACCCAGTTTACGTCGAGCAGCGTTCGACCATGCGCATCGATTGTCGCACCGTAGTGGGAAATCCACCGCAAAGCGAATTTCTGGGAAGTATTACTGGCCACACCTACGTAAGGAGGTCCACCGTTGGGCTCGTCAATGCCACCCGTGCCAGGCAGCGAAAGTACACCGGCACAATCGTGCCGCGCTTGGCGATTTTAATACCCCAGATGCCAGGTTCGACCACATCCACGTGGACTTGATTAAGCTCCCACTAGTCGAAGGCCTCCAGTATTGTCTGACGATCATCGACCGTTACAGTAGGTGGCCTGTCGCCGTCCCATTGGCCGACAAGTCAGCCCCAACAGTCACCCGTGCACTGTACGAGGGCTGGATAAGTATTTTTGGCACGCCCCTGACTATCACCTCGGATCAAGGGAAGCAGTTTGAGGCGAACATTTTCACCGAGCTGAGGAAGCTAACGGGCGCAGATCATACCTTCACTGCCCCGTACCACCCTCAGTCTAACGGGATGGTCGAGCGTCTTCATCGGACGCTAAAAGCGGCCCTGATGTGCAGTCCTGAAACTCCTTGGCCGCGAGCCATGCCTACGGTGCTACTTGGTTTACGCACCTCATTCAAGGAGACCCTTCAGGCCTCGCCGGCCGAAATGGTTTTCGGGTCAGCTCTCCGTCTGCCAGGGGAGTTCTTTGGGCCCCAGACCACCGGAGTGGATCAGCAGGATTTCGTGGCAAGAATGCGAAGCCTTTTCAGAGCCATTCGCCCTGTGCCAGCTTCGCGACATTCGCGACACCGACCGTTTGTATTCGACGATTTACGCACATGCTCACATGTCTTTCATGACAGAGCCATTTCGACGGATTCTCTCAAGCCGGCGTACTCTGACGTGGCCGACTCGCCGCCGCACACGCCGAGCCCTTCGCCCGCGCCGGTCCCTTCGCCGCCACGCACGCCGAGCCCTTCGCCCGCGCCGGTCCTTTCGCCGCCACGCACGCCGAGCCCTTCGCCCGCGCCGGTCCTTTCGCCGCCACGCGCGCCGAGCCCTTCGTCCGCGCCGGTCCTTTCGCTGCCCCGCGTGCCAGCTCATTCGTCGCCGAGCGCGCCCAGCTCATCACCGTCGCCTGTCCACGCGCCGCTGCCAGCGCCCACACCGAGATCGTCGCCATGGCGGTTTCCACCGCCCTTAACGATCCCACCGCCGTCGCCTGTCCACCTGCTGCCGCCTGTCCACCCGCCGTCGACGTCAACGTGCCCGTCGCCTTCGCCGATCTCGCCGCCGTCGTCTGTCCACCCGCCGTCGACGTCAACGTGCCCGTCGCCTTCGCCGATTTCGCCGCCGTCGTCTGTCCACCCGCCGTCGCCTGTCCACCTGCTGCCGCCTGTCCACCTGCTGCCGCCTGTCCACCCGCCGTCGCCTGTCCACCTGCTGCCGCCTATCCACCCGCCGTCGCCCGTCCACCTGCTGCCGCCTGCATCGCCGAAGTTACATGCGCGGCCCAATGTAATCGCACGGAAGAAGAGGGTCAGATTTTCGCTCCCCCCGCATCCCGCGGTCGTCACTGGGGGCGGAGTGGCTGTGGCGCCCAGGCCGCGCTGTAGGAAGCAGACTCTGAGGCCGAAAGTGGCCGGCGAGGACCTGACGTTCGAGGCCGGGCGACGACGGATTTGACAGAACGGAAGGAGTAGTTCTGTCGGACGTCAAGGAAGTCAGTTTTGTCTTCCGCCCCGTCCCTTTCGAAAATTCAATCTTTTTCTAACCACACATGTTAATACACCCGGCACATGGCCGGAATAAAATAGCTGCTGAATATTAACCGAAGTCAGGTTGTTTAATTTTACCCCAGTGTCCCATACAGAAACTGATCGTCTACGAACTCCGAACCTAAAAAATATACCATCAATTTATATCGCTAAGAATTCTTCAAAAACCATTAAAAATTAAACTATTTCATGTTACAATTGCAATACTACATTTTAGTTTGTTAACATTCTGACTCGTTCAAGTTTGTCTGCTACATAATTTATAAAATTGGCTTTTTTAACCAGTTCGAAGATATTTAGTTCAAAAAGGAAAATATTGGTAAATACCGATAATTTCAAATTTCGAAAAGAAAATATTTTAACGAATGGAAACACTCTTTGGCGGTGCATAAACAGAAATTGCTACTAAAACTATCGGAAATAAGTATTTTCCTTAAATGTAGGTAACTTGTATTTATTTTGTAATGTCCATTTTAAATGGGCAGTACCCTCTCATAGTCAGCCCTTCCGGTGTACCGGAATTGCGGCCCAAAATAATAAACCCTTTTTGGGTCGTACCTTTCTCTTAATCCCTGACTGGAATTCCCCCCGAAAAATAACAATACCTAGTTGAGTGGGTATCTGAAAAATTTCTAATAGATATTAAATTGATTTTGGGAAGCTGGAAAATTTGAAAATATATCTAGATTGTGAACTTATGTAGTTACATTCATGTTTTATATACTTTTGAGAAAATTTTATTATTACATCATGGAGACTAATATTAGGCAAACTAATATTAGTGTATCAAAACTAAGTTTTCCATGAAACGTGGGTTGAAGAGAACGAGCGAAACTTCTTGGTGCTGTTCTAAGAAGCAGTGTAGGGCACAAATTTTTACTGTAGGAGAAAAGGAAGACCTAACTTTTTCCGAAATAAGTGGAAATCACAATCACGACAGCTACTCTGCGGCAGTTCTAAACAGACAGAAAATATCGAATTCGGTCAAAAGAAAAGCCACTGACGACATATCCGATATACCTTCAAAGATAATTCACCGCGAGATTTCGGAAAACGTAGATACACTGCATACTATAACAGTAAATCCATTCGAGTCAATTTTAATCGAGAAACATTAAAAAAGGTGCCACAACTACCTCGTAACATTGCAGGGGTACACAATTTCTTAACTCAGATGCCAGTCAACACAATTAAATCGGAAAGTTTAGTTTTACACAACGACATGTCGACAAATATTATAATTTTTTCCTGTAAACCAACATGACACTTATGATGAAATCAAGTGTGTTTTATGTTGATGGAATATTTAGCTACTGCAGTAAATACTTCTGCTAATTATTTACCGTGCATACGTATGTTAACAATACATATAGCCATCAGTGTTCTGTTTATTACCAAATAAAATTAAGGACTCATATAAAATACTCATTCTAGAACTGATCGAAAAGTTCAGTATTCTTTTTGGATACAACTGGGACTTTTCCAGAGACAGACATGATGTTTTTGTTATTAGGTTATGTAAATAACTGTTTACTAAGTGTGTGTAGCTATTTAATATAGTTAGAAACAATATAAACGAAGTAAAGTGATTTTAAAACAATGCTGCTTTTACCAACGATACAACTTGCATTTTCTTAAGTGACAGACGTGACAGATGAAGAGAAACACATACACGACAACTGACATTGACAGTGGTAACCGCGAAAATACAAATTTTACTCTCAACATCTCCACTAAAATTTACATACAACCATTACAAATTTAGCTACAAAGACAGACCAACATTTTCACAACAAAACTCATGTTTTCCCAATGAGACAGGTTTTGCAAGAAAATCCGCGACCATACAATCTGTCGACATATACAAATTTAATCGAGCCATCATTCACCCTCTCAGGAATAAAATGATGTCGTGTATCAATGTGCTTAATACGAGGTTGATAAGTAGATTTCGAACTTAAACAAATCGCACCTTTATTGTCACATTTTATGTATACCGCACTATGCACACCGAATAGTTCTTCGTACAAAGTTTTTAACCACAGAGCTTCTTGAGATGTCACAGACATTGACATATATTCTGCCTCCGTGATAGATAAAGCAGTTGTTGGCTGCTTCTTGGAACACCATGAGACAGCCCGCTCCCTGCAGTTTAAATACATAGCCAGAAATCGATTTTCTGTTACCCGGATCATTCGCCCAAACAGCGTCGCAGAATCCGGATCAACTTTCGCTATCATCGCTTCCAAAAATCAGCTTCATATCCATAGTCTTCTTTAAATATAGTAGAATCCGTTTTACAGCAGTACAGTGAGGTTTACCTGGATTATTGTTAAACCTGCTAACTGTGTTTACAGCAAACTGTAGGTCTGGTCTGGACACTTGTGCCAGGTACAGAATGCATCCAACTGCTTCTTGATATGGAATTCATGCCATTTCTTCCTTTTCCGCATTATTTTTAGGACACATATCCTTCGTTAGTTTTTGATTAATATCAATTGGCGATTCCTAATTTGAGTGGAAAGAATCCTCCGGAGTTCTTTAGTATTGCTTTCTCCACTCGAACCACCATCTGCCTCAGATACCTCATCTTCAACAGCTTCCTCCGGGAAAAAGTAAAAAGTAGCCTCCCCGTTAACCTTGGGTTCTGACGTCTCATTTTCCAAAAATACTACATCACTACTCACAAATATCCTTCCATCCTCTGTATTGAAGAGTCTATACCCTTTACAGTTTTCGCCGTAGTCTATAAAAACGCACTCTTCGGATTTTTGATCCAACTTCTTTCGTTTCTCTTTCGGCACATGTACCATAGCTTTGCACCCAAAGACTCGAATATGGGAAAGATCTGGTTTACACCCAGTCCACATCTCTTCTGGCGTTCCATCAGTCCCTTTGCATGGTGATCGGTTTATCAAATAAGCCGCCGTATGCACTGCTTCGGCCCAAAACTGTCGACTCAATCTTGCATCGAAAAGAATACACCTCGCCTTCTCAATAATGGTCCTATTCATTCTTTCGGCAAGGCCATTTTGTTGTGGCGTGTAGAATACACTGAGTTGATGCTTGATTCCATTCGATTTCAAATACTTAGTGAAAGTATTATTGCAATATTCCCGACCATTGTCTGTGCGTAGAATCTTTATCCTCAGATAACATTGGTTCTCCACTAGACTCTTGAATTCCGTAAATTTTGCATATACCACATCTTTACTCTTTATAGTATATGCGAATACTTTCCGAGAAGAATCATCTACGAACGTAAGGATATATTTTGAACCTTCCAGGGACTCCACATCCATCGGGCCGCAAAGGTCAGAATGAATTACCTCTAGCATTTTTGTTGCCCTAGTACCCTTATTGCTAAAAGGCGTCCTTGATTGCTTACCCTTCAAGGATGTCGTACATATTGAATGTTCTCCATGTTCAAATTGAATTCCCATCGCTAAGTTGTTCAATTTTCTTAAATTTTCTACACCAAGGTGAACCATTCTTCTGTGCCACAAGCTCTGTCACACGTTTGTACATTTAATGCCCTGTACACATTTATAGCATTTAGTTTATACAAACCATTTTCCAAGGTGGCCGTCGCTATTAATTTCTGATTTCTTTCCACCCTTTGCCATTTGACTTACTGACAAAAGGTTTGTGCATAAATTTGGAACATGTAGAACATAGCTATTCTTTACGTCTACAATCATATTTTCGTTTATTTTGAGCTTAATATTTCCGACACTTTTTACTGGTAGCCGCGTTTCATTTGCAATTACTACTTCACCATTCTCTTTCGACTCTACGATCTTCTCGAAAACATCCTGGTAGGTCATGTGTGCCGATGCTCCCGAATCCAGATACCAGTCACTAGGGTTCGTGTGACTCACCGAAAATGATGCGTAATGCAACTGATTACTTTTATCGACTTCATTTCTCTTGTCCTCTTTCTTTGTTGGGCAATTTTTCGCAAAATGTCATTCTATATGACATTCAAAACATTTTAAAGGTTTTCGTTTGCCTTTGAACTTCTCCTCAAACATGGCAACTGATTCAACTTCCGTGCTTCCTTTACATTTTATATCCTGTAGTAGTTTCGTCTTTACTAAATCGGAGGTAATTCTCTAGCCCCATAATCATTGGCCCGTATTCATCTGGCAAACCTGCTAGCAACAGCGTACCAATCTACTTATTATCCACGTTCATATTTACGTTTCTCAATTTGTGAGCCGTCGTGACTATGTTGTTTACGTACTCCTCGACAGATCTACAATCATTAAGTTTAGTAGAAGTAAGTTTTTTAACAAACCAACTTTTCGGGTGAGACCCGTATCCTCAAAAGCCGCCTTGAGGTTATCCTACACTTCCTTGGCCGTTTTAGCACTTTGAATATGTACATAGTTCACTGGCTCCACTAATAAAATCAACTTTGACTTTGCCTTAGTGTTTTTTTCCGCGTCCCGTTCCACACCAGTAACACAAGCCCAAAGATTCTCGAGTTCCAACAGCGCCTGGGTAGCAAACTTCCAATTCTCGAAGTTCTCACCACCCCCCAACCTCTCTACAGCCGGTAATGCATTGCTGTTAGACATCTTGGAAAGTTTTACACGTGCTCGACACAGGAAAGTTTTTATCGATCTTTTTACTCGTTACACAGACTAGACTGATGTTTTTGTTATTAGGTTATGTAAATAACTGTTTACTAAGTTTGTGTAGCTATTTAATATAGTTAGAAACAATATAAACGGAGTAAAGTGAATTTATAACAATGCTGCCTTTACCAACGATACAACTTGTTCTTAAGTGACAGACGTTCTTAAGTGACAGACGTGACAGATGAAGAGAGACACATACACGACAACTGACATTGACATTAGTAAGCGCGAAAATACAAATTTTACTCTCAACAAGACATCATTAGCTGTAGATTGCATCTAGCACAATCTTGGTAAAATTAACTTTATATTAATTTTACACTATTTTTTTAAAATATTTCTATAACATAAATCTGTTTTTTTTGTGATATTATTGATATTATTTAATGATGTTTATGGCTTTAATTTTTTATCCGATATGCCTGATGACCTACGTGTTGTGAAATTCAGCGATTATCTCGTAGAAACATACATTCATT